GCTTTTATTTGCCTGCAGAAGAGCAGTATACAGTCTTAGAACGTGAGTGTTCAGCGTCTCAATTAAATGCAGGTGGCTGTGGACAAATGTTAAGAATCTTTTAGTTTACCAGACACTAACTCTGTTTGTACGTCTTCCTGTTAAACTAGACGCAGATGCATAAGAATACTTAAATGAGAGCATAATAATAAAGGCTTTGCGATACGGTACTAAGTCCATGTTATGCTTTGCACAAGTAATAGTAGCTGACCTGATCTAATATTCATGAACTCAAGGTAAATCACAACTGCATGAATTCTTTGCTAAAAAAACATGTAATTTGCTTATTTATCTGTTCCACATTTCTGACTAAATTCATTACTATTTTCTCATTTAGAATGCAACAGGACTGAGCCTTCACAGATCCTAAGAACTGTTTCGCCCTTAGAACTATGGCCCTATGAAATTGTTTACGGGAGACATAACTAACAGCAGATTATAAAAAGGATGCTGGATGTCCATTTTAGTCTCACAACCATTTCCAGTACTTTTTGAGTTACCTCTTTTACCCTTTCGTTTGGAAAAAAACAACAAAAACTGCAGCTTATTATTACCAGTGCAACTTTTGAACGGGGACTTCGTTTAAACCTTTGTTTGGTATTCGATTCTTAATGAAAGTTCCTGGATAAATTTTTAAATCTAATGCTACTTTGTTTTATCTACTTATTCGTTGCAAGAAACTTGTGATACACGAGCCTTTCAGCATCTAGTCCATATGTGGTAAATTTAAGTGATTTAGTACATATCTTCGTCATTTTCTTGGGAAACCTACGGACTCGGATCCTCTCATAACTTATTCTAACCACCATGAGTTGTCACGGCAGCTGATGGATGGACATGTGTTACACATCCTAACCGTACCTGCGTCTAATCTTATAGCTCCTTATTCAAATGCCATATGATATCCAAGCCATGCCCCTACCCGCACTAATGGAACACTAGTACCCCAAAGGTACTCTGTATGGTACCTTACATTGGCCTAAGAACTCGCTTAGCTCTTTAGTGAGAATATTATTACAGTCTTGCTGAAAATCCCATGAACCCCCTATCTCCACCAAAACAAGTAAGTCTGTGTTTGCTGCATATAGCAATTTTATTTTTCAGAACTAAGATATAACAGCTAGAATTGGAGTAAAATGGCGGTATACAGCAGATGCACGTGGTACATGTCTTCATCGATTAACTGAAATAGAGAATACGGATATTAGCTTAACAGGCTTATTTAGAAAGACTAGTGTCTACTTTGAACTAACTGCGTGAGAAATACTGGAACTACGAATGATGTAGGAACCTAGTCTCCCAGGGCGTACGAAGTACTCAAACTGGAAGACAGTTGTCCAAAAATAATTCGAATATGAAGGTGAAAATTTGCAGATACTTTTCATCGTAAGGGTGAACATATTAGGTACCGGTTGACATCATACCGTAAAAATATGATCTATAAAAAAGTGAGCTTAATAACAGTCGATTACCTTTTTACCCCCTGATCATGACCCTTCGGCTTCATTTTATGGCCAAAACAGCAAACATACACTACACAGTGATAGCAGGTTTCCGGCTTTTCAATGTTAAACTTGCTTTAACGCACTGAGTAATGAGTAAAACCCCTTTATTACTGCTATATGGCATGTTTTTGTAACAAACCCCCTGCAATAGATTGGTAGCATTTGTGACTTCATTTATGGTTATCGGAAGTCTGGGTCCTTTCGAAAACAATACTGATATCCCCTAATGCTGGGCACTCTGTATTAGTTTGACTCGTTGGTGTGATAGTGTTGTACATAGTACTGAATAAAATTGAAAACCGGAGATCGTTTCCTTTCATTTTGCCACTAACATCATAAAAGTCAGTTTGCAACGAATATGCGGACAGTTAGAGTCACAGGCGGCAGCAACAATTATTTTAGCTAAAAAACGAGCTTCGGCTTTGGATATCTAGAAAACAAGTCAAAACAAAACCGATAAGACTAGTCAGCTTGGCTGAAGAAATACATTGGCTTCAGTAGCAGCAGCCAAAACCCAGAAAACAAGGCAAAATGAGGAAAAATTCTGCTCCAACAGAGTATTACATTAACTTCTGCAGTTTAGCACACTGAAACATTAAATGACATAGCCACACAAAAGAAATAGCTGAAAAAAAGCACAGAATGAAGGTCGACCGCCATTGCTTACAAAGATGGTGGATATAATAATTCCTGTCTCATTCTGATTGGTTGCTAAGCTGAATGCCACATTTACGAAATTGAGTTACGTTTAATAGCTCCCTATCGAAAGTGTAGACCCTTTCTAGCGTAGGGCTCCTGTAGTGACTCACTTTTATCACGAGAACACGACTGGTTTAATGAAAACAATTATTATTATAACCAACTGTACCGGTGCTTGATTTCATGTGCTTTTGTCTAACTGTGCTAATTACAGCCATTTTGTGCTTCCATTACCTTCCATCATTGTTCCACGGTTTTTGGCTTTGTTCGCAGGTACTCCGTCCTCCTGCTTTCGCTTATACCAATGCTTGGCACGATCTTGATATTCGTTCGATATCACGAGATCGCCAACGAAATAAATCTGGTTACGTTCAACCTTCGCCTTCTGATTTGTTTGGTACGCGTTTCCTTGTAGTGGAGTTCATAGTCAATTACGACTCGACACCATGCTACAAGGCAACCCTCGGAAGATTGCACATCAAAGGGCGAACACCTAGATACACTCTCGCCTTTTATCACCATTAGTCGCCCTCATTTGGAGTGCTTTCCCATACGAAGTGACTATCACCCCCTCAGTACATGGCTTTTAGAGGAGACTTGGCAAGCACTAACCCATGCATTACCATCTCCCTCTTCGGCCAGCTGTGTCTGATGCATGTCCTACAACTTGCCGCGGTTATCATTACCATACATCAGTGACCACTTTCCATTTCCTTTGTTATCATCTCCGTTTCCCCTCTCATCCTTTCGGCTCCGTCTTCTTACACCTTACCAATTAGTTATTCCTCCTTGGAGTCGTCGTCTTCTTTTCGCACTCAAATTATTACTTTACTATCCTTACATTGCAACAATCCAGTTTCTTGCCTGGTAATGTGACAGCTGCTGGTATCAAGAAATCTTACTCTTCTGAGACAAGCGAACTCAATCAAATTGCAAGATGTACATATCCACAATTGACTACCAAACCTACTAGAATTAGTGTAGTCAAAAGTCTAGACTATCATCAACTGAACATTACTAGATACCCAGAACGGCACTATGATAACAAGAAGCTATCACAGATAAACGAACCAATTGAAAGAAGATCCTGATAGTGTTGAATTTTGTAATTTACCCTTTTGGTTGAAATGAGTCTTTCTCAAATGATGTTTAGTCTTCAAGTTGTTGGTTTACTATTGTTTTTCTGGTTTTTGTGGAGTTTTCGAATTCAGAAAGCAATATATTAAACTAGTAGTAGCCTTTTCTAATTATGTTTATGTCCTATTACAAAAATGTCGCGGTCGAATTGTTTGATGTCCTTGGAGAGGTCAGTTTTTTTTGTCTTGGTTCCCGAGATTTCGCTTTCAATCTTTCAAATTTTCCGTACTTTTGAAATTAATTTACTGTTCAAAACGGTCGTTTTTGTTTCGGTTAGCTTGTCACATTTTTCAATTATTCTCGTTGGTCATTTTTTCACTCAAAGGGTAACTACTAGTAGACTACTAGAAAACCAGCTGGTTTTCAGTTATCACCTTGTAAATTTCCCAGTTGTTGGAATCCGTTTTAGTCGTCAAGGCTAAACTAAGATCGATGTACCTGTGATATGTTTCATTGATATTATGTTTATTCAATCTCTGCTGTTTTTATCTGGTCGTACTAATGTACATTTGGGGAAATTTTAGAGTTTTTTCGTGCCATTTCTACCAAATTTTCTACTGTGGCTTCATCAAAACGTACGAAAGCTTGCTCATAATAGTGAGATGGGTGGTATGGTAATTTTAGTCAACTGACATGTGTCAGGCTCTATTTGGTGACATACTGGCAGAACTAATCAATATGGAGCCTGCCACAAATGCCCGAAGCTGTCATTTTGTATTGTGACAATATGCTTCTCTGTATGCTCAACGTACTCATATTTCATTTGATCCTTATCTGAAAAGCGGTTTCTTAGTAGTTCAAGTATTTTTTTTAGTTATTGTCATTATTGAAGGAATATTGAGGTCAAGTAATGCATTCGCTTTTAGCTATCAAGTTTATCTTGTGACAGTGCCTTAAAACGGACCAGGATCATTTTTGTATTCGTCGCCTAAACCCATTGTATACCAAGGGTTGTTCTTTATTGATCAGGAAAACAACCAGTTTATTGAAACGCTTTATAATTGGCAGCTACTGGTCTGTGGCTGTTTAAAATTCACTAACGTGATTTAAAAAAAACATGGATCATAGTCAAAGACCACAGACTAAAAGGCAATTCTAAACCATATCTAGATAAAAATTGTGTACCTATTCCTCTCAGTGTCCACTGAGTTCTTTCTCAAATGCATCTTTGAGGCTTCCATCTCTATGTTGTACTCTGACAAGCGTACCTCTTTTAATATAATCCGTAAGTATTTAGGCAATACATCTTGGCACAGGTTTTAGCTAAATTCTCAAACTCAAGCTTCAGTTAAATTTGAATTACTGTTGTTAATTTTGTTAGTCCTGAAGCGTGACTACAAAATTTAACAGAAATACTTGAATTCCATCACGCTTTTTCCAGTGTATGATGTGCAATGTTAAACCTTATACCTGCACCAAACATCCATGAAGCATGATTAGATGTTTTTTGGTCTTACTACTTAAATCAGCATCTTAGTTCATAGTATAAACAATGATTTGACGTGATATCCGTGTGATATTTTCAAATGAAAACAACTTATGCGGAACTAATAACCAGTAATTTCTTCATGTTAGATAACTTAATCAACATCTTATCAATAAGTCCTTTTTCTTTATTTTAGTACTTCCAACTTATTGAATATGCTCTAGATAAATCAGTCAGATTTAACATTTCATTACAACCGCATAAAAATGGTGAATAAAATTTTCAATGTAATATGTATTCAACATTTCACTCATTTGTATTATCAATCACTTCATATGTGACTGTTATCAATTAATTATTAGCACCTATTACATTAAACAATATGATCATTTTACAAATTTATGTGCATTTACTTAAATTATCATCATTATCACTAATCTTCATTTTACTAGTATCTTCTACTAATTTATCTTATCCTACAAATTCTGTTAAGAGTTTATTGCCTAGACAAAATATCATTTCTCCAGAAGATCACTTAATTGAAATTATTTCTAATAATTCTATAAATTATGGTTGTGATTTCAATCAACTACAGTTTTGCTCATATGAACATTCATCTGATTGGAGTTTTCAGTTAAGTTTAACAGAATTTGCTTTAAAAATGAAAGAGGCAGCTGAAACAGCTGCTAAAGTTGTTCAGAATTTTCAAGAAAAATTGTCACAAAATAATAATACCAACAATACTACAAGAATCCAGGTTAGTGTAGTGCTTGAGTTTTTTTTGTTTCAATTTCTAGTGAACTGAATTGTTTTAAGTTCTATTTCGTTATGTTTTATGAGGTTAAATTGTTCGAATAACAATTTGAACTGCGTCCAGAATGGTGGACTTCACAGTTAGTATTCAAACAAAAAATCAACCTACAAATTCGTTGGCTTTGTTGACATCCACTATCTAAGCAAGTGTAGAATGCGTGGTGAGGATTGTTAAGATAACCAGAGCCCTTGGTTAGAGATCTAAAGTGGCACGGTTCTGAATCAGTGACAAGAACACAAATACGATTATTTATGTTCCTCTAATTATTATCATTCAATTCTGTAATTTTACTCGTGTATTTCAGCCTCTACAATACCTAGGTAATTGTCTGTACCAAGTATGTGAATTATTGTTCACAACCAATATTTTTTAAGAGAGCATACCATTCGTGTTTGTAAGAAATATGCGAATTACTCTAATTTTTTACATGGTATGATATCGCAACCATTATATCTGCTAATTAAACTAAGCAAAATTACAGACTCATTTATGTACAGGCTAAATATTCAGTCGGTTGATAAACTAGTCGGTACGGTTATTAGTTTGCTTTACCATTCAAATGCAGGATTATGGTTGTCTGTAAAACATTTGAATTAAGTAAATAATGAGCATAGGTTGCAAGTTTTTGATTATAAAATTTTAAAAGTATTTGTCTGAAGTTATCAAAGAAATAGTGGTCAGATTAAATGTAGAGCCCTAGTTAGATTTTACAATTGAATTCATCTAGCTATAATCTTCCATCGAATGGTTTAGTTGGGATATGAGTGATGTATACATGACCATTATCTATGTCTTGTGATATGCTGCACACCATGGGAGAATAGACTGAGAAAGAGCTAGAAACTGCTAAACGTAGGATATGAGGGTAATCCATGAAGTCACTGAATGTTTCTGGTTATTCAGACTTCTTAATCACATAGATGATTCATGGCTAGAGAAATTTATGTCAGATGATAAGTGGATTAATTCTTTGTCTTCCTGTAATGCTTGAAAAGTAGCATCATCTCAAATCGTATTTATCTATTTGAACACATAAGTATTGGTACAAAGGGGCACCGAATACATATGGGCTATCATACTGCCCGGGTGCCCAAAACTAGGCAGGTAGTTTTCTTAGGGAGCCTTTGATCTAGAGCTCTGATCCACAAGGCAGTGGAGCAACGTTAGGAGATGCAGTCCACAGTAGCCGGTGACCAGCAATAGGCTCATACGTCATTTGTTCTCTCAGGATTCTTGAGCCTATTTGTACCATTGGTTTGATATCAGGGTTTTCCAATTCCCCTAGGTGGACACGGAGGGTCCACCAACCCGTTATAGTGCTGGATATTCGTTTTTCGCCCAATCAATTTCGTAAACAACAGTAATGCCGTGAGAAGTTAGTGAGTAGGACTTCCTGATGGTGACTGTATAGGCGTGGCCATGTGAGAGCATTTGGAGTGGAACAGTGAACTTTTCCCACTCTCGGTCGTCCCAGCGCATTTGGATACAAGTCGTATCTTCGATGTCTAACATTTTCTCCACCGCTAATACTGTTATTATCTGCACTTCTTTAGAATTTAGTTTTTCATCTCATTTTACTAATAAAGTGTGGTAATTTAAGCGGACATACAGATATGCCAGGTTTTATGTTGTATATTACTAATGAGATTCTTCAGTCTTTTGTGTACTTGTCGGATTATATTACATGTGCTTAGTTTCATACTATTCCAACTCTTTTGAATGATAATGTACTTTTTTATTAAAAATTGTGTAACAAGAAAAGAAGGATCATTATAGTATAAATTTATGTCCTTATTTTGAATTATTCCTTATGTACTAATTTTATTAATACACTTTTCAATGTGTATTTGTGTGTTAAGATAAATAAAATGTATCACTAGGCTGTAAAAATAATGTATCCGGGGTGTATTTTTCCATGTGATAGAAAGTGTGAAGATGATAGATTTAGTAAATAAATTCTCTCCACAACCCCCCCTCCTCCACAAAGTACGTTCTGTATATATTTTAATAAATTCAATTTAATGTTACTTGTTTAGTTTTAGTAGCTATGATAATTGAAAAACAAACGATTGAAGTAATATGATACATTATGTAAAATAATTTCAATCCAGATATAAGTGAGTTAACGAAGAGGGAAAAAGACTACTGTTTTAATGAAAATTGTAGCTGGTTAGAATTAATTAACTAATAGTTTACTAGTTACATGCATCTAATCAGACATTCGTAGGCAACATAGAACCTGACTCATGTGTGTGCATATGAGTACAGAGAAATGAAATTATCTAGACATATGACAGAAGTAATACAAATATAAATAGGAATAGAAAAGACAACATACAGAAATACGATTCCCAAAGGGTAAACTACAACTAATGTTCTTCACACGACCAATAATTACTCCGAGGTTGAAAGATAAATTACCTAGACTAGCCACCTCCTTCTGTATTTATCAATTCAACTGCTCCTGTGGTACAAGTTATATTGGTAGGTGTTCTAGAAATTTGTACATTCGAGCTCGTGAGCACCTCCCCGTATGGTTAAGCAAAGGTGTAGTCAAAACTGTTAACAGCTCCATCTAGGACCATCTAGTTCAGACAGGACATACAGCCAACATGGAGCAATCTTTTGCAATAATCTATCGTGTTAACAGCAGTCTACCTAATTCCGTCAGACGGCGAATTCTACAGATGACTGAAGCAATTGCTATTCGGATCAAAAGGCCAGAGCTTTGTATCCAAAAGAAGTATGTTCAGCCACTTCTTTTACCCTGGCCAACTTTGGGGTCAACTAGTTAATAATCGATCTTATAATATGGTGACGTAATCTGATCAATGTTCATTTTATGTCCTAAACTTATTATTATTATTATCTTTACCATTGTCGTTATCATCTTTATCATTGCTATTATTATCATCATTACACTTAATAACGTTTTTGAGGAATTTATCCAGTATCCGCCCCTAAATCTACTATATCTGACAACTTCATATTAGTCAGCTCCAACATTAACGATCTGAATTTATTTTATATAACAAACAACAATTCTCAATTCACATATTACAATTTCCAAATGATGTACTCTCTGCCTTAAATCTGACCAATTTTATGGATTATTAATTTGGATTTATAATTGTAGAAGCTGATAAGAAATTCATTGAAAAGAATATTCTTCGTTCATACAATTGTGTTTTAAAAATTGAGTTCTCAAAATAAAAAACATAAAATAATTTTAGAACCCGAAATCTAAAAGAAGACAAGGAGTTGACGCGTCTGCTCCATCGCGACTGATTCTGAGCCATGTCACTCAACATCTTCAACCATTGAATCGCGTGGACTCTAACTAGGTAGGCTATACCTGTCAGTATGGCTCAACCCGATAGTCACTGATTACATGGATGGGTGCCGCGTTTTTGTTTGAGCACTCAGAACTTCCTTCCAACTTATTTCTACATCAGCCAACTTCGTGTGTTGAGACTGGTTGCAGTTGGACACATGTAATACATGTCCCAACCATCTCAGTCTATGAAGATCCACTACCTTATCAACTGGTTTTGCATCATCTCAACCTTACTCACTCGATGATCCCAAAATACGTGAAAGATGCTTTTAAGTCACTTATTAATAAATACTGGTAATCTATCAATATTCTCTATTTTTAAAGACAGCGTTTCATAACTGCGTTATCTGCTATTGTAAACAACTTCATTGTATCTCATTTTCATTACTAAAATGCAGTCGCAGGGTTAAGCATAAGACACTAAATAAAGATGGCAAATCGGTTAATGAAGCAGTGAAATGTTTCATGTATACCGAAACACCCCGTATCTTAACTCTTAATGCTGGTTGATGTATGAGTAGATTAGAAGGAAGCTAGAGGGGTTATAGAAAGATATCATCAGTCAATGAAATGTTTGACTATTGAACTGATTTTTTCTGGTAGATGCAGATTATTCGGTTATCGTTCGCTTAATAAACTCAATCAATAGTCGGAGATCTTGAGTGACATGGGTGAGTAAGGGTTACTATGGCGTAGATACATTCACTTTATATAACTCTAGTTTTTAAGTCTCAGTTATCTTTCATGTGCACTATCCTATTCCGTCTTTTCATATCATATTCTGAATGGTTAATCTTTCTCATTATCATTTATGCTACTGTTTGACTTGTTAGTTTTATCTCATTGTGGTGTTTTAATATGAAGATCTCGGTTGACTGTGATTTATGTTAGATCCTGTATTGATTATAGTTTAATGAATTAGGGATAAGCAAAAAATTGAAATACTAAACTATCCTTCACATTATTTGTAGTTGTGTAAGATCAATTCTAACCCATTTATATATTCATTCGGATTTTATTATGATATGTTATGGTTCCACATTAATTAGGTGAAATATGAATATTTACTGTAAATAGCATGGATTTACTACATTCACTGAGATATTAACAATAAATTCTAGCCTTATTATATAATCATGTAATTTGTTTTCATTTTATTGTTAATGTTACATGGTGACAATGATCAGTCACTTATGGATTACATTTAACAATTAATACTAATCGTTGGTTTTGAATGCCCTGGTATGACCAGGAGTGAGGAGAACCAGCTCTCCTTCTCGAAATGCTCTCACATGACCATATGCATACAACCACTGCCACGGAAGTTCTACTGACTGAATTCTCTCAGCCGGGGTGTTGTTTACGAAACTGAGAGGACGAAAAGCGAATGTCCGATGCCTTAACCGCGTTGGTGGATATAGAGGGTTTAACTAGGTGAGTTAGAAAATCCTGGTTCCAAATTAGTGGTGGGTATGGGTTACAAGATCCTAAGAGAAAAAATTAACGTACGAACCTATTGTTGGTCACCAGCTAACATGGAACTGCGTCTCCTGACGTTACTCCACTGCTTTGTGGATCAAACAATCAGGTCGAAGGCTTGGGGTGT